GTCCAGTGACTCAGATATTCATTTCTGATTCCCTCATTCTAAGACCTTCATTGTCTTTACAATACAGCTTGGGTATATCAGGTGGCCCCTTTACTCTGTCCTCCTTGCCTCCGTTTTATAGTAGTACTCCAATTTCCCTTTGGTAAGTGTGATCTGTCACCCCCACCAGTAGATTAACACCCTCTTACCCCATCTTAATTTAATGGTACTAGGGGCCCAAAATGGTTAGTAGCATCTTCATTACTTACCTTGAGATAAAATACCCGACATCCAAAGTTAAAGGAGAGGTTTATTTACTTCACAGTTTGTAGAAGTTTCAGTCTGTAGTTGGCTGGTTCCAAGGCAGGTGACATGGCAGGGGGCATCACAGAGAAGAAACAGTCCATGGTAAAACAGTGAAGCAGCACGCAATGGCAGCAGCCCTCCTTCTGTCCCTTATATTCCATCTAGGTTACCTTAGGCAGGTAGCACTCATACCCAGGGTGGGTTACTCTTAATCTCAGCACTACATCCTTAATCCCAGCAGCACACACCCTAGATCCAGCCACTTCCAAAAATCCCCACCTATGACTGCACGAGGCTTTTAGGGAGCATCTAGATACAAGTCAGAACAGGCAACAAGCCATAACAATCAATCTGCCTTTCCAGTGTATTGGGAACACAGTTGTGGCCTCTAGGTGAAAGAGTTCCCAAAAGGGACAGAGATCTCCAAATCTGCAGCGCTCTTAGTTACTGACACCAGAAACAAAATTGTTACCAGATCCATTTCTGCACTTGCTTATCAGTTTTTGGAGCTGTATGTTCTGGTTGTGGGGAGTAGTACTATAGAATTCTCTGATTTGTAGCAATCTTTTTCAGAGGCAGACCCTTTCCTTTGAGAGGGTTATGTCCCTGTTGGCATGTAGCTGAATTTTTAGTAAGGGTTTCCACCTTTCATTTTGATGAGCCACTTGAGTACATGACAGGTGTCTGATCAGACTAGCTGGTTGCAGTGATCTGCTGTGATTGAGTGAAAGGGCTTGACTGGAGTCAGTGCTGTGAGGGCCATAAATGTGGGTGAAACATTTTCTGAACTGTTGGTTGCAGAAGCATACAGCTTGGGTATAACAAGCAGCTTCTACATACTAAGTAACAGCAAGGCAAATACACATCTAGAATATCTGTGCTCCCCAGGATATGGATCCCAGCACCCCGAGGTTACTTTGGACTCTACAGCAGGAGGCTATTCTGGATTTTCAGGAGCTTGTTAGATATTTGAACAGAAAGGAAAAGTACTTTTGCCTAATGGAGGAAATCATTTAAAAAGATTTGGGTAAGATTTTAAAAGGCAGTGAGAGTGCTGAGTACTGAAGACAAAGGGCCATGGCAAGGAGAGGTTGCAGTGATTCACCTGGCTCCTTCACCTTCCTCTGTCTTTAGGGTTTTTATTTTTTTAATATATTTTGTGCAGGGTCTCACTACACAGCTCAGACCCATAGTGATCCTCCTATTTTCAAGCCTTCCAGCGAGGGGATTACAGGTATGTGCCACTATGCCTGGGGGCCAGACCACATCATGGGCATGCCGGAGGGGGATCAAACTCTGGTCCCTGCACTTGCCTAAGCAGGCACTTAGTCCACTGAGCTATCTTGCCAGCCCTCCCTTTTTTTTTTTTTTTTGAGAGGATGGGGTAAGTTCTGGGTATGGAATTCAGGGCCTTGGACATGCTATACAAGTCTTTCATCAGTAAAATTTCTGCAGTAGGGGGCTGGGGAGATAGCTCAGTAGAATAAGTGCTTGCCTGGCAAGTGCAAGGGCAAGGGCCTGAGTTCAATCCCTGGTTCTGAAAAAAAAAAAAAAAAATTCTGTAGTTTTCTCTTAATTTTTTGAGATATGGTTGTGTTGTTGTATAGCTGAACTTGGTCTCAAACTGTGATTTTCTTTCTTTCTTTCTTTCTTTCTTTTCTTTTCTTTTTTTTTTTTTGAACTAGGGATTGAACTCAGGCCCTTGCGCTATTGAGCCATCTCCCCAGCCTTCAAACTTTGATTTTTTTGTCTCAGCCTCCCAAGCCTGTAACTTCTCTAGGACAAATAGTAGAGGCCTACAATTCAGGTGTCTAAAAGCATAAAATGAAAAAAAAAAAGAAAAAAAAAAAAAAAGAAAGAACCTGTTCCTTTTTTTCCCTATTGGTACAGGGTCTCGCTATGCAGTTCAGACTCACAGTGATCCTCTTGTCTCAGCCTCCCCAGTTTTGGGATTACAGAGATTACAGGTGTACGTTACCATGCTTGGTTTCAGGGCTAGCATGGCATGCAGTACCGAGGATTGAATGAGGGATCTTGCACTTGCCAGGTAGACACTTAGACCACTGAGCTATTTCCCCAGCCCTGGCTATGCCTCTTTTTTTTTTTTTTTTTTTTTTTTATTTATGCGTGTGTGTGTGTGTGTGTGTGTGTGGCCAGCTCAGCCCACCAGGGGGCAGGGCACGCTGGCATGTGGTGCTGGGGATTGAACCGCGGTCCCTGTGCCTATGCTTTGCTAAGCTTGTTCTAAGTAGGTGCTTTAGACCACTGAGCCATCTCACCAGCCCTATGCCTCTTGATAAATGTCCAGTTGTCTGAATTGGCACCATACCCACTGCCCTAAAATATTCCATCATGAGTGTAGATGTTTTGATATAATAGATAGTAAATTAATGTTAAATTTTTGTTTTTCATAATTGATTTGACATAGGGAATCCCATGTACTCTCATTAAAATAGTACAGATGGCTGAATGTAAATTAAAATAGGGTTTTTGGAGATACAAAAATTGGACTTCTAAGAGGTAATAAAGCATGATTATCATCCTTCTTCCCAATGTTGACTTCTGTTAAATCTGATAAATTATATGGATAGACTTGATCGATTGCTAGATAATACATAAATAGCACCATCCAGTGCATTACTACAACCTTAAAGCTGTAGTTCTGACAAAAAGGTTCCTGTTTCCAATACTCAGTAATATGAAAAATTGCAATTCTGATCAGTCAACAACTGCTGAATATTTTGCTCTTACGTACTAGCTAACATGTGCTTTCCTGTGCCTCTTTTAACAGCCTCTCAGCTGCCACGGCCTCCACCTCAGCAGGGGCACACTGCAGTTTCCGTAGGCTGCCTGTGGGTGCCTCTGCAGTTTTCAGTCAGTCTATGTAGACAGCTCCTAATTGGATTCATTTTTCTCCAGAACTCCAGGTATGATGTGACACTGATAACATACTCTTTTTTTAGCATTTAAAAAAAAAATTTATTTATTTGTGTGTGTGTGTGTGTGTGTGTGTGTGTGTGTGTGGCCAGCTCAGCCCACCAGGGGGCGGGGCTGGCTGGCATGTGGTGCTGGGTATTGAACCGTGTTCCCTGTGCTTTGCTAAGCTTGTTCTAAATAGGTGCTTTAGACCACTGAGCCATCTCACCAGCCCTTTTTTTAGCATTTGTCTGGCATACTTACTACTGATACATGAGTCCAACATCTTTTAGTCCTTTTAGTTTTGGCAGGAATACATTCTTAATTCGCAGGTTTTACTTACTAGTTGAAATGGATAGCCATTGCTGTTAGTCTGTTGATGCTTTTTCACTATAGAGGCTTTGCTTTGGTAACCTGCTCTTACGGCTCCTGGAGTCTGTGGACCTCTCCTCGTAATCCTTATTTACTCCAGGTGTCTAATGGAAAAAATTGCCTCTTCGTGCTGAGTGTGATGAGATGCCTGTAACTCTAGCGCTTTAGGCAACTGAAGCAGAACCAACTTGTGTAACTTAGCTTTTTAGGGCAGCTTTGTCTCAAAGTGAAACATGAAAAATGGGTTGAGGATGTAGCTCAGTGCAGAAATTCGAACTGTGGGTGCAATCTCCACTACCACAGGAGGGGAAAATTGCTTCTCTCAGCCTTCTGCCATACATCATTAAAAGAACAGTTGGTGGCCACCTAGTGGGCTGTGCAGGAAAATGCCCTTTATAGATGGTGAGCCTGAGTCAACTGTCCATACCCAGCTGCCTACTTTACTTAGGATCAAGGATGCCCCACAAGCTTGACATGTGTACCAAGGCAGTCCTAATACAGTATGGAACCACATCCGGGCCCTCTGGTATATTCTACCTGTAAGGGCAGTGACTTTTTCTGTCCTCTGTCTGTTGACAGAGCAGAGTATAGGAGGGGTCACTCCTGTCCCAGACCCTGTGGGTATCTAAAGAGCTTCTTGGGATTGACCCTGTGAAAGACAGAGTTTGTGACCTGTCAGACATTGCCACTGAGCATCATACAGGCGATGATGGGGAATTTGGATGCTATGTGCAACTAGTTGTCCCATTTTTGCCTGCACTATAAATTAGTGAGCAGGGGCTGAAGATTTTCTTCTTTAGGTAAAAAAGATTAAAATCAGCCAAAACTCCTGTGATATCTTGGAGCACACAAAATAGGAATCAAAGTTGCATATGTAGCACGAGGCTGTAGCTCTGTGATAGAGTTGCCCAGTATGTGAAGGCTCTTGATGGAATACCTAGTACTGAAATAAAAAATCCTACAGGTGTCCCTACACACACGATAGCTGCCATATAAAGTTCTTAAAAGAATACTCTTGACTTCTATTTAGATTTTTTTTTTTTTTTCCCAGTACTGGGAATTGAACTCAGGCCATTTAGAATTTCACAAATTTCTTAGAGTAACTCAGGTATACTTTTTAACTTTCAAAATTTTATTCAGTCTGTGGCCCTTGGAAGAGTCATTCAGGAGATCTTTCAGTATCTTCTAGGTCCCAAAAACTGACAATCATAATATCTCAATTTCCAGTATAAGAAATAAACTCTTAAATACATTAATCTTGTATTTATTTATTTATTTATTTTGTTTTTGCGGAACCAGGGATTGAACTGAGGACCTTGCACTTGCCAGAGAAGCACTTATTCCACTGAGCCATCTCCCTGGCCCCTATTGTCCCAATATTTTTGTTGTTGTTTGTTTGTTTTTATGATGTTTAGGTCTGAAACAAGGAAGTTCACCCTGAGCTATATTGCCAGGCCCTTTTTTTCAGGGTGGGGAGGTGGTGGGGGGGACTAGAAATCAAACTCAAGACTTGTGTTCACCAGGTAGGCACAGTGCCACTGAGCTATATCTCCAGCCTCCACCCACACCTCTAGTCCTTTTTGTAAGTATGTGTATGTATGTGTGTGTGGTGCTGGGGATCAGACCCAGCCTTGAGCTACATCCTTAGCCCTTTTTTAAAAAATGTATTTGGTATAGGGTCTCACTACACAACCCAGACTTGTAGCGATCCTCATGTTTTCAACCTCCCCAGAGCTGATTACAAGCCTGTACCACCACATCTGGTCTCATGGCTGGTTCAGCATGCCCACGGGCAGGGCCCGCATGGCATGTGGCCTTAGCCCTTCTTTTATCCTCGAGATAGGGTCTTGCTAATTAGCCCAAGCTGGCTTCAAACTATTCCTATTGATTCAGTCTTCTTCTTCTTTTTTTTTTTTTATTCACTTTTTATTTATTATTTATTTATTTATTTTTAAATTTTATTTATTTATTTGTGTGTGTGTGTGTGTGTGTGTGTGGCCAGCTCAGCCCACCAGGGGGCAGGGCTGGCTGGCATGTGGTGCTGGGGGACCGAACCGCGGTCCCTGTGCTTTGCCAAGCTTGTTCTAAGTAGGTGCTTTAGACCACTGAGCCATCTCACCAGCCCCTATGTATTTATTTTTTGAGACAGTATCTCACTATGCAGTTTCAGGCTGACTTTGACCTCACTCTGTAGCCCAAATTCAGAGTGATCCTCCTGCCTCAGCTTCTTGAGTGCTGGATTACAGGTGTTTACCATCACATCCAGCTGCCTCAATCTTATGAGTAGCTGGGGTTACATGTTTGGCTATTTTTCCAAAGCTGCTTAGCTTGTGACTCAGGTGCATTCTTTACTCTCCGCCAAAATGTACATCCCTACATGTTCATGCCTTGAGAAATGTGGCATACATTACTAAAAATACTGAAAATTAAAGCTTTGTCCAAAAAGTATCTACCCATCATTCAAGTCCTTAACTTCCTCAGAAGACCACCCACTACCTGAAGCCTCCTGTTATCCTCTCAAGCATTCCCTCACAACCTAGCATATCAGATATGTCTACTGCAGTCACTGTTTATCCATATTTCAACTCAGTACCACATTCTGTTAGTCAAGAGCTCTATCAGTGAGCTACATCCCCAGCAGTACCATATTCTGAAAGTACATTTTCCATTATTAATGGCACCTTTATGTTCCATTGGGAACTCAGATCACTAGCACTACACTAGACCTTATGTGTTTTTCTTTGCTGGCTTTGCTCATGTTTACCCTCATGAAGGATGCTCCGATGTACAGTGGTCTCATGGTCCTTTCATTGGGTACTTCTCTCCCTCTGAAGGCCTTTGGGCAAAATAGACAGTATGGTAGTCTGTCCCTCATCCATAAGGATACTTTTTTTTTGGCGGAACCGGGGATTGAATTCAGGCTCTTGAGCTTGCCAGGGAAGTGCTTATTCCACTGAGCCATCTCCCCAGCCCCTACAAGGATACTTTCTAAGGCTGCCATTAGGTATGATAGACATTAATAGCAATAACTAATAAAACTTAACAATCATAACAATATACTATAATAAAAGATGTGTAAATATAGTCTCTCAAATTATTTCATTGTCCTGTCCAATGTTTACTTTTTATTTGTGCTCCTGTTAATGGGATACCAGAACCTTTTGCATTCTAGTGGAAGCTCTACCACCAAGCTATAGCCACCAGCCCTCTCTTGTTCCTTTGTCAGACACTAATTAACCATGAGTAACAAACTATGTCAAGTTATACTGTTAACATTTATACAAATGTACTTAATTCATGTCAATAGGATTTGCCATGGACATCGGTGCTGTCAGCACTGGCACCAGTTCAGCATTGTCTGTCAAAGAAAATTGTCTATTTGCCAAGTAGCACCTTTCACTGGCCTTTCAGGATCTTGCTTAAAGTGTACAGAAAACATGATCTATTACACAGCAAGCCTGTGAATCTCTAGTCCAAATGGAGTAGATAACAGATGTGCTCTTGACTAAGTACCATTATCAACATTCTTTGAGGACTAGGCCAAGAGGTAAAGGTATGTCTAATACATAATTAACATTCAAAAGCATATCTTTAATTGGAGATGTCTGATCTGTTTCCATGGCTGTCAGTACTGATTATGGGATGTATTCTAAACCTTCATCATATCTCTAAAAGAACTGTCCTTTGTTGTCACTTTTATGAATATTTACCTTCAGGAACTAAGTCAATCTGTTGTCCTTATCTTTAATGTCTCCACAACTCTGTGGAGAAATAAGTTGATCCCTATTAGTATTGTGAGAACTGTTGATGACTTACTCCAGAATGGATTGATTTATAATGTTTTTAAAATTCATATTTTCCTAGGGTTGGAGGTGTAGCCTTGCTATGGATCTTCAAGTTTTCAGTGGAGAAAATCCCTACAAATTGGAGGAATATGAAAAAACCTTTCAGTATTTTCCATGTCTTACTAATCCCATGGAAACCCACACTGAACAAACACTCTGTGAATGTGAGGAATGTTGGAGAGCATTTGCCTTTTCCTCACACCTCAGTCAATATGTAACAATTTCTTCTGGAGAGAAATCCCAAAAATGTAAGGAATGTGGGAAGTGCTTTGCTACTTTTACTCAACTGTCTGCTCATATGGAAGTTCATACTGGAGAAAAGCCCTTCCAGTGTAAAGAGTGTGGAAAGTGTTTTACAAGTAACACATACCTTAATGATCACAGGAAAATTCACAGTGGAATAAAAGCATACAAATGTGTGGAATGTGGGAAAGCCTTCCTGAGGTGGTCGGGCCTGACTGAACACTTGCGAGGAGTTCACAGTGGAGAGAAGCCCTTTGTGTGTAAGGAATGTGGGAAAGCCTTCTCGAGATCCACTCAGCTTAATGAGCATATCAGGACACACACTGGAGTCAAACCCTATGAATGCAAGGACTGTGGGAAAGCCTTCACTCAGTACTCAGGCCTTGCTACCCATGTACGCATTCACAGTGGTGAGAAGCCCTTTCAGTGTAAGCAGTGTGGGAAAGCCTTCACTAGGACCTCAGGCCTTATCCACCATGTGAGAACACACACAGGCGAGAAGCCTTTTGAATGTATTCATTGTGGGAAAACCTTTATTACTGCCTCCCACCGTACTAAACATATGAAAATTCACAGTGGGGAAAAGCCCTTTGTGTGTAATATCTGTGGGAAGGCGTTTGTATATTCCACATCGCTTAACATTCACATGCGAACACATACTGGAGAGAAACCTTACATCTGTAAGGAATGTGGGAAAGCGTTTGCTGTTTCCTCACGCTTAAGCAAACATGCAAGTGTTCACCATGGGGAGAAGGCCTATAAATGTGAGACTATCAGTGTTTCCCTTAGCCCCTCTGTTGCTACCCTTACACAGTAACAGTGGCACTGAAGATCATTGGGTAGTCTTAACAGCTTTGAGTTATTGTGGTTCCCACTGGCATAGATGCCACTTTGATTTTATGACACAAAAAAAGAGAATCTCATTTTTTGTTTGGTTTTGGGACTTTAACTCAGGACCTCCTGCCTGCCAGGCAGGTGCCATGTTGCTGAGCTATTCCCCTGGCCTAGATCCCCTCTTAGGGGAACGTTCTTCTTTTGTAGTGCTGGGATTTAATCCCAGTGTCTCACACATGTTAGGCAATCACTTTACCACTAAGCTAAATTCTTAGCTTCTTTTCTGGAACTTGTTCTCAACAAAACTGAGTCTGAGCAGTTGTGGTTATAGGTGAGGTCAGTACTGTGGGTAGGCCTGATCTTGGTGCTTGGATTCCAAATGATGATAGTTTCCATGAATGCTATGCATCGTGGGAGTTTTAACTTTTTGGATTGCCTGGGCCACACTAAAGAGGTATTGTCTTGGGCCACATAGCGTATAATTAATGTATATAACAAAATCCCTTTATTGTAAAGTATTTTATTATAATATAGTTAATAACAGCAAACCTGTGGACCACAGGTTGGACATGTCTACATAAGATACATGAATAGAGTTGGTCCTAGTTGTTGTTGATTAGTGGAAATTTCCCAGAAGCTAAGTTGATAAGCTAAGCACAGAACACAAGTGGACTGTTGACAGACACTCCTCCAGGAGTCTCCTTTGACCCCACTGATCGTGTTGAGCATGCCAAGAAGACCTCTGTACTTTTAATTGGTAGTCTATCTTATAGCCAATGACTCTTGTTTCCTTACAAAATCTTAAGTTCCCCCTGTCTTGCTCACTAGGTCTATTTTAGATCTAAGTGGCAGTGCATCTGCTAGGAATTCAGTCTTCTGTTGAGATTGCTGATATTCTACCCCTGGGTCTGTCATGAGACCACTTTATCAAGTGGCTTTTCAGTCACAGTTAATATTCTCTTCAAGCTCTCTCATTTCTTGCAGTATGTATAGGCTGAGTGTTTCCCAAATTTCCATGTTCTGATCTCTTTTTCGTTAACAGTTCCCTGTTGGATTTTCTCCTCTTCTTGCATTTCACTAAGTTGTAAGGAGGAATCAAGCTGCTGTTTCAACAGATGAATTATAATCTCAGATAAATTCCTAGTATCATCATTCCCCAGCCTCTGTCAAAAATTGCAAGAATACAATTATATTCTGCTAAGGTCTATACCATTGCATGTCAAGGATTGCCTTTTAAAATTTTTTGAGACAGACTTTTGCTTTGTAGCTAAGGCTGGCCTTGAACTCACTACATGGCCCCAGCTGGGCTCAATCTCTTGGCAGTTCTGCCTCAGCCTCCCCAGTGCTGGGATTACAGGTATGCACCACCATGCCCACCCTTTCCTCCTTTAATTTCCTCTCATCTGCCTTCTTGTCCTTTGCTTCAATGCTTGGGATTGAACCCATGCTAAGCAAGTGCTATCACTGAGCCCCACCCCTTACTGTTTTATGTTTTCAGTACTGGGGACTGAACCCAGCACCTTCTCACTAAGTTATATTTCTAACCCTTTTTTTCTTTTTCTTTTTTGAGACAGAGTTTCATTAATTCTCTTTATGTTGACCAGGTTGGACTTAATCTTCAACCTGTTGCCTCTCCAAATGCTGTGATTATAGGCATGTACTAATATGATTGGAATTTTTTTTTATTAAAAAAAAAAAAAAAGATCTTGGGCAGGGGAGATCACTCAGTAGAATAAGCACTTGCCTGGCAAGCGCAAGGGCCTGAGTTCGATCCCTGGTTCTGCAAAAAAAAAAAAAAAAAAAAAAAAAGTAAAACAAGATCTTGTGAAATTGCCCAGCTGGTCCTCCATTTGGGATCTTTGTGCCTCAGCATTCTGGATACCTGGGATTATAAGCATTTGATAACACACCCAGCTCTTCTCCTTTTTTTTTTTTTTTTGTAAATGTATTTGGTACAGGGTTTCACTACGTAGCTTGGGCAGCTTGGCCTCGTAGTGATCCTCGTTTCAGCTTCCTCAGGGCTGGGATTATAGGCGTGTGCCACCACACTGGCTCAGCAAGACTAGGGGTAGAGCCAGCACAGCTGGAGGTAAGGAACCCACAGGTCCCTGTGCTGAGCTATTGAGCCCGCCCTCTTCCATTTTCGAATACCATGTTTTTCATTTCCAAATGAAAATCAGAATAGTTCTTGCTGTCCTCCTTAGGTCACTAGGCCTGCTGTGGTGACACATGTAATCTCGGCACTTGGCAGGTAGAGGCAGGAGTAGTGTCAGGAGTTTTAACTATATAGTGAGATTCTGTCTCAAGAAACCAGAGAAAAGAAAAAAAACATTTGCAGCCTTTACCCATTATTCAGTCTCTTGCATGCATGGCTTTTACTGCAGTATCATCTCCCTATATCAAAATCTGTCATGAATTACTTTGTCTGCCCTAGCAAAATAACATGCTTAGATCAAATGACTTTAAATGTTTGAATAAAATTTACTTTTTCAATAAATTTGAAACATACAGAAATTTGTTTTCTCTCATCCCTGGAGGCTGGAAGTCTAAGATTAAGGAGTAACAACAAGGATAACTTCTGGTGAGGGCTCATTTCCTGCCGTGCATTTGTCTCATTGTGTCTTCACATTACTGGAGACCAAGAAGAAAGTAGATCCCTGTCTAGGACCTTAACACTTAGCTGCATCAGTAGCCCTTTCTATTTTTTGAGACAGGATTTTGCTCTGTTGCTTTGTTGTCTAGGCTGATCTCGAACTTGTCATCCTTCCCAGCTTCTGCAAACGCTAAAATTACAGGTGTGTGCCATACCCAGGTAGGTCTCCACTCTTGAAGTTGACTGTAAAATAAGGTCCTATCTTTATAGTCACCTTCTAGTTTAATCTTAATACATGAATTTTGGGAATCACCAGCTTAGGGCATTTATGTATATATTTTCTTTGTTTTCCACACAGCAATCATATCATCTATAAATAATAACTATTAGCTTTCTATTTTAATTATTAGTTTTTTAAAAGATAGGATCATGAAAAAAAAAGGATCATGATCTTAGCTCATTACTAAAACTACTTAGTAAAAGCAGCAATTTTTTTTTTTTATAGTTCAATTGAGATGTTCTCTATTCTGTTGATGTCCTTGTTTGCTACAGGTTTTTTAAAAAATAATCTTGATAAGAATTAAATGTTTCCCAGTATCATAATTTATAATTTATGAGGCTTAAGTCTTTTTGGATTTAGTTGCTTTCTCTGCATCCTTATCTTTTTTTGTTTGTTTTGTTGCTGTTGAAAGGATCTTGCTGTGTAGTTCAGGCCAACCTTGAGCTCACTTTGTAGCCTGGCTGGGCCCAAACTTACAGCGATTCTCCTGCCTCAGCCTCTCAAGGGCTGGGATCATAGACTGTGTACCTCCCACCAGGCCCTTATCGTAATCATCTTCATTCACTTTGACTCAACTACCTAGAACAGCAACTGGTCCATAATACATAATAAATACTTGAATATATGAATGAATGAATGAAAAGACTATTAAATGCAGTCACTATTGATTTTTATTCTTTGTTGATTACCTAATTTTTTTTTTTTCTGGAACCGGGGATTGAACTCAGGCCCTTGCACTTGCCAGAGATGCGCTTATTCCACTGAGCCATCTCCCCAGCCCCTTGATTACCTAATGTTAACCATTGATTCCTAGATAACTCAATTTGGACATTATAGACCATCTTATTACTTGATTATATTTACTAATGTTGTAGATGTTTTAGTAACATTGGCAAGGAAGTTTTTACATTAAAAACAAAGCCATGCAGTGTACACCCAAGTACTCTGGGCGGCTGTGGCAAGACAACTGCAAGTTAAAGCCTAGGTTGGGCAGTTTAGTGACTTAATGAGTCTTTGTCTCAACATAAATTTTTTATTTTTTTAAAGATCCGGGAATGTCGCTTAGTCTGAATGCCCGAGTTCAATCTCCAGTACCACCAAAAAAACGGAGAAGGGCTGAGGGTGTAGCTCCATAGTACTGTGTTTGCCTAGCATGCAGGATGTTCTAGGTCCTATCCCCAGCACCCTACCCCTGCAAAAAAGTGCATGGATGTAGCTCAGGGCTAGGACACACCTGTGCAAGGCCTGGGATTGAAGCATTGGCACCATAAAAAATACGAACTTTTTGGTACTTTAGTGTTTAGGCTATGACAGTATCGTATACTATACAAGGTTGCTTCCCATTTTCCTTCAATTTGTAACTTGTTCATGTTAAATTAGCTAGACTTAAGAGTACTGTAATTATCTTTTTAGGTATCCCATTTCTGTGTTTTTAAAGCTATTTGCTCAGTTTCTTTTATGGCTATCTAATAATTAAGGTCTCCAAAATTATAAAGCAGTTAAGAGTATATTTTTCTAGGCATGTTTCATGTGTGGAGCAAAATTTTCTGTATTTTTAGTTGTATTTTTAACATTTCTGGTATAATTTTAGGCCTCTTGCATTCTCGAATGATTACTTTGTGCATTTTCTCTTGTGTTTGTGTTGACAGGAAGTATTCAGTTTGTCATTTTTCTTTTCTTTTTGGGGGGTGGGGGGGACAGCTTGCTGTGCTGGGGATTGAACCCAGTGCCTTTGTGTAGTGAGTGCTCTACCAGAGTTGTTTTGTGAGCCAGATTTGTGATTTATCTTGAAAATGAATTTTTCTGATGGTGATATTGTTAGTGGTAGGGTGTGTAAGTAGAAGCACAAGGCCCTGGATTCAATCCCCAGGGGAGGGGAGGGTGTTTAAAAAAAACAAAAAAAGCAAAGAACAGTTTAACCTTTTTCATGTTTTCTATTGCATTAATTCTGTTAGGTATTTGTATGGCCATACTGGACTGGTTTTATTTTCTTTCTTAGTCTTTGTTTTGGGTGATGGAGTCATACGTAGGATTTGGGAGTGCTAAGTATTTGCTCTTCCACTGAGCTACCCTTGATGCCCAGATGTCTCTTTTATATATTATTTTAGCTAGAGATTAAAGATATCTAAATACTTGAAAACTTTGGACTAACAATAACTTTCTTTTATCTGGAACATTTAGTCCATTTTGTGTAACTTAGTAATAAATTTGGAATAACCTCTGATACACTATTACTTGTCTTATTGTACTTTCTCTTGATTATATTTCATTGCAATGATTTTAATCTTGATGCTTGAAATTTATATATTCCATTGTTTTTTAGTTGCTATCCTAAAACTTGCCATTTAGTTTTGGAATTTGTCTTTTATTATACCCCTTCTTTCCACTTAAGTGGATTATTTGCATAGTGTCTCCTGCCATGCACCTGGTGATCCTCACTTGCGACAGACCCTGAAGTAAGTGCAGCCTTTATGAGTCACTGGACAGACAGATCTAGGTGGGGAATCAAGATCAGACCCCTTGACAAAGCCCCAGCACATCTTATACTGGATTACAAACAGCCACGGCTTCTTTGAAGCTATTTCCAAAATAAGAGCCTTTGTTTCCTGTGTATGTGAGGTGAGCTCTTAGGACTCACTTTGACCAACAACAATCAGCTCATAACCCACCTGAGTTCAACTAGTAGATATTTGCTCGTCTGCTACAAGGTAAACGCAAAACCATTTGGTAACACATAATTTCTTGCACACAAGCTGGTAAAAGGGTTCCTCATGATGTATTGGGGAGCCTCTAGAACTACTCTCTCGGTAGCAGTGAGGAATTCTGTCAGAAGTGTTAGGCTGTGACCTAAGATGAAAAAGGAAAATCAAGACTTCAGTTCATCTTGACTACTTAGCCCAGGGCACTCAGCAGAAACAGTCCAGGATCGGAAAGATGCAAGTGGGTTGCTAATAGAATCCTAAACCCCAAAGAGCAGTGAGAGTTCAGTGATTGCCAAAAGCACGGTTAGAGCCCTCCAGCCTCTCTGAGATCCTCTCTGTTGGCCGGTGAAGCTGCTAGGATGGGCAGAGGCGCGGTGTGTGGGAGGTATCCAGAATGGCTATAATCAACTAAAAATCCAGAGGCCCAGATTACTTTTGGAACGAGACTGTGATCCATTTCCTACTGGATTCTCCTGTGAGTCATAACAAAGGACCTCAAAAGAGGTCGGATGCAGGTAGAAAAGTTTTCTGCTGCGCATCCCGTAAGATGCGTCCTAATCCTGTGCCTCTAGGTTCAAACCTCACGCGGGGCATGACCGTACCTCCAACCCTGGCCTCACACCTCAACTCCGCCCCGCCCAGAGAGGGCTCTAACCTCAGTTTGGGCCTCTGCTTGTTTTCGTCCACTTGCCTCTTCTCCAAGCGGGTAGAGGAACCCAGCAGCACTCCCCGAGGAGAAAACCAACACACGCATTTGGATCTCCGCCAGGCCCCAGCCCCACCCCCGGCCGAGCGCGAGCGGAAGTGACGTCGGCGCCGGCGCGCTCTCTTCCGGTCGTGCCTCGGCGAGCCTGGAGACTTGTTACCTTCCGAGTCGTGCGGGCCACTCCGGCTTTTGTGAGTTCCGCGGCCTGGGGACTGCCTGGGGGCGGAGGGGATGTGGAAGGGCGGGTTTGGCCCGGGGCGCGGAGGCGCCTTGGGGGAACGAGCTGGCGCGCAGAGCCGGTTCTGTGGGCTCGAGAAGCTGGAGAGGCCGCAGGAGTCGGTACCTGAGCATCCGGGTTTGGGGTGCGCTCGGCTGGGCCTGGGGGGTCAGCGCCCGC